TATTTTTATATAATTTTATATAATTATATATAAAATATTTTTTCCCGGGTTTATACTAACTTATAAGTTTTATTCACTGAAGATGGTTTAATGTAAATCGAAATTGTTGAATTTAAGTTTATTAATAAAGAAAGAGTTTAACACTAAATTCAATAATAAATTGAAAATGCTTTGTACTTATAGCCAAGACTGTATAATGTTGAAGAAAAGTAATTTTGTTTTATTTACCGTGAGTATCGTTCGAGCCATCGATGATTTTCCTCTTAGTCTTTCTAGTGAGTCTCTGCGGTTCGTATTTCGCGATCACATGACTCATTATTTCCAGCTCATCTTCTTCATTCGCATTAATGACCGCAGCACGCGATTGTGCCGTATCTTGATCGTCTTGATATGACGATGTCTGCTTCGAATGTCCTCTCTCCTGTATCTCGCGTTTAGACAAAAGCGATAATACTTCATCGTCGAACTTCGATGCATCTTTTGCTACTGCATTCGCAATTATGCGAGTATTATTTCCACTTCCGGCAATGATTACTTCCTCCAAAATAATTTCGCGATCGCTTGTGGTGTTTGAAATTTTCGTGTGGTTGTGTTCTGCGTCACCAACTTGTAATGTTAACTGCACATAGATCGATATTGATTATGCAATTTTTATTGTAAATATGTAAATATTAAATGCTAATATTATTTAATAAATTAAATTAGATATAAGTTAAGTTAAATTAGATATAAGTTGTAAAAAATATAGATAAGTTAATTTGTAAGATAATTTTATAGTTTTGTAATAAAAATTAGTAGCAAAATAGAAAAATCTTTGTAACCTAATAAAGATCAATAAAACATTTACATCTATATAAATCAAACGCATCCTACAAGCATTACTTCATGAATCATAAAATTGTCAATGAAATTTTAATTTGTTTGAAAAACAATTATTTTATTTTTTCTTCAATTATCGTATACTTACGCTCGCGGTAAGAGCAATAATTACTCATGAACATGATAAAATTTATTAGTATTAAATATGTCACACATTAATTAGATTAATGTCAGTTTAGACAAGACCCCTGTATATATTTCACAATATTCGGCACCATATCACTTTATCGCTGCTCCTACTCCACCGTTCTAATTAAAAGTTGACGTAAACATGCGTCAGCCTTTGCCGCTGACAGTTCTTGCATTTGCTCATTTATTGTGAATTATTTATTTTGCCATTTGTCGCGTGTACATTATCATTTCAAAACATTGCAACATTCTACGAGAGAAATTAATCAAATCCATATCGGATAGTTCGGATAGTTATCTGTATTCTTTTTATTTATATTCTATTTATCGCTAAGACGACCTTTTGTTGGTCAAACTTTTTTTTTTATTGTGAAATCTTTAGTAGAAATTTAAATTTATTTAAAAAACTAAGATACGACTTCTGTGATAATAAAAATTCGCTCTTAAAGCTTTCTTACTGAGAGAAAAATTGTTATAATTAATATGTGACAATAATTAAATGTACCATATAATTATGATTATTATGCTATAATGTTAGTAATAATAACTATTATACGTGTAGTTTTATCATATTTTAAATAATATATATTACATATATATTGTTTAAAATATATATTGCGTATATATAATTGGCACCAAAATAACATTAGCGTAATAATCATAATTATAGTAATATATATATAATTAGTCACGAATACACTAAAAGCTTTTTTCACAATACACAAATAACAGCATTTAAAAATTTTTCAAGAATAATACAAAAATCTACATTGAAGCTCGAAGACACAGAATCTGACGGAAGATGTAAGATTTTTATGACCGACGAAGGATTGAGATTAAAATATTACCAAATAAATTAGCAATAGTAGCACCATGACTACCAGCTTCCGGAAGGTTTTCATTATTCGAATCCGCGACAAAGACTGAACCACGTTCCTGATGCGGCCAGACAATTATATCGAGCCGTTTCCTCTATCAGAAAACCATTCACGAATGATATGACAGTTTCACAGCGATTAGGCACCTTAAAGTGTCGAAGGAACCGCCGACAATCAGTCCTGCATCGATCGCTCCTTCGATTCGGCTTCCTCCTTTCTCTGCCGATTGCACAAGATCGTCGCTCGGCCGAAGCCGATATCTGAAAGCACATCCCGATCTCTTATTATTTAGTCTATTATTAATGGACATTGTGCAACATGCCACGTTTTTATGCTTCAAGTATCGTAACATGGAGGAAATGATATTTCCATACAGAAAGAACAGTTTCGCTAAGGTATATAAAAATTTAGCTACACACAGATCTAAAAATAATTTTATAAAATTATTTTTAGATCTGTGTGTAGCTAAAATAATTAAATAATTTAATAAAATTATTGTGTAAGAAATTCAAGCATGATGAGCAATTCAAAAAGTTTTGACATTATAGAAGCTATGTGTTTCACGGGTTATCTATATTCATTCTTAAAATGCCATTCTTAAAAAGTTAGTAAGTAAATTTTGACATTCTAACAAGCAATTAAGCGTCCTAATAATTATTTTCATATTCCAATAAAATCATTTTTATGATTTATATGTAGATAAATTTTTATAAATTTCAGCAAAATTATTCTTTTCGTATAAGATATGCCACATTACGATTTACAATTTCTTTCATGCCATTTTTACTGATGGTTGCAACACATTAGCATTTTTATATGCAATATATTGCGTCTGCGTTACTCGATTTAGCATAATGTCGCATAATTATTATGAAACCCGGCTGTCGAAAGTGAATTTGTAATATTGTTCAATCGAAATTAAAATCACCGCTGACAAAATCACTGCTGACAAGTCCATTGATCGCTACGCAAATACATTTTGCATTTCTACGTAGAAATCATATTATTGGATTTTCATAATTCACTATCGGATTAATGTCACACATTTGCATATCGGATATCATGACAATAATGTACGTCGCGTAAAGTCACACACGATCTCCTGCGGTTTCTGGTGTCACGTAGATTATTATTTCAAAGGAACCTGTACGATCAGAACACAAATTGCGTTAAACGCAACAGAATTTGATTACAAATAAAATAAACCGCAAATCATTATTTTAATTCTACGTCAAAGAACACAGTTAACGGTTAATTTTCCTTTTATTCTTTTTCATAAGTTGAAAAAGTTACTTTCTTTCCTGTTATATTCTTTTATAAAAAAAGAGATTCACGATAAAATCATGGTGACCTGCGAATGTTAGCTTTGTCACAGATGTGATATCAGCATATCGCTATATTATTATGTAGCTGTAACGAAAATTACATCTTAAAGTAATATTGCTACGACATACACAGATTAAAACATCAACGTTACTATAATCTCTTAATTATCTCACAACGACATCATAATTTGTGATTAAAATGTGACTTTTGTTGTTATGATTTTGTTACATGTTTTTCCCTTTGTTATTTTATTTTTTATCTTTTTTCATTTTAAAAATGTTAACATATATTATATTCTTCTAAGGCAATTTTAATGATGTTCTTCTAAAAAGCAGTTAAGTATTACAATATTATAATTTCAGATATAATGAATACAGTTTATTCGATTAGATAAAATTTAAATTGATTATGTCAGCCGAAGTGAAAAGAAGTTTCTTGGAGCGACTTTTCACGCGATCAAATTTCTGCGCGCATTCAAGCCTAAATTGAATAGCTGTAGTTGCTTGCATACCGCGTCAATGTTCGATAACCCCAGACTGCGTTTTAATTAAAAGACGTAATTGAAGAGAATTTATTATGCAAGTAATCGTTGTCATGGTAAAAACATTTCGAAACTTCGACGAATTCGATTTGAAAAGGCACCTGCAATGCACCTGGGATTTTGAAATGTTAGAAGAGAGTTTATATCGTTAATTAAATACGATTAAACACAATATTAAATAATAATCAATACAATATTTACTACTATATAATGTTATATAATTGTATATATTATATTTTTTATGTTATATAATATTTAAATTTGTTATAATAAATGTAATATTTGATTTATAAATAAAAGATATATGCTAATTAACGTAACTTTTTATTCATTTACTCAGAATTTTTATACGTAATATACTATGATATTTATAATCTATATATAGATTCCTTAATTAATTGATCTTCCCCTGAGAAAAATAACAATCAGTTATCTTTTTAAAAACATTTAAGAAATTGAAAATGAATGTCAAAAAGTAGAAACCTTATAATATATTTCTAATTTGATATGTGTATTTCTTATTCAATTTCAAATAATATAAACCATATGTACGTTTTGATAAAATTTTTTAGGCTTTTACAGATATTATCAGAGATAATATCAGAGATATTCAGAGATACCAAAAGATTTACGAAATTTTCACCACGTTTTTATCCATTGCTAATGTTAATGTTTCGTGGACATTTTATCATATTTTCACTTTGTTAAAATAAATGTCAAACATTAATAAAATATATATTTCAAAGATATCTTCTAGTATTTTTGAAATATATTTTTTTTTGTTAATATTTAATAT